TACAACTCCTTTCGAAACAATTATCTAGATGGCAAGACCATTATTTTGCCACCTCCTGGCCAAAAAATTTGCGTATCGGAATTTTCACACAGCGCTCGTTGAGCCAACCAAAAACCCAAATATCCAGGCGCAGTCCACATAAATCCACCCTACTAATTTCTAGTTAATTTCCTTTATGAAGCATACGTACGGTGACCATCCGTCCAGTATTATACGGGACAGGCCTGTTTTTTGAGCAATTGTCCTGGTAATTTATTTATTTTATACGGGATGCCAAATGTTCTGTATTTATTTTAATGTCCTGCATTTGTCCCGTATTCGATGTTCGTTAATTCGACGCCTTAACAGCTCATTAAAATGGCATGCCTATGAACTAGTTTTAAATGATGTTGGTATATGATCGCAATTTTATCCATTAACAGTTAGTATTTTCCAATCTGGATGCCTGGGATTTGAAGTGAGGAACATATACAGTGACCAAATATAAATTAGGACTCTACATTTTAGCAAGGTTTGTCCTTTCCTAGCTCCTTTCCTAACAAAAACCATATAAATCCAAATATCCGAATTTGTGCAAAAACTATGAAAATTAATTCTGCATAGTTTCACCAAAATTTCGCACTTTTTAATCAGAAACTTAAAAGAAAAATGCCTGAAGTTTTGTAGCTCCTTAAAATGAGTATAATAAAGTGCAATGTGCTGCTCATTTGTTTCCCTAAAAAAAAAAAAAAAAATTTTGAAAAAATGCGTAGCACCGTCAACCAAAAAAAAAAATTAATTACCAAAAATTCACGATTAGTCCTAGCTACTTCACATTTGTACTTTATTCTACTAAAATTTAAAGAATTTTTAGTAAAAAATGTTGTGATGTAAAAATCTCGACAAACGTATCCTACAAATGTGTGATGCTACTACGAGGGTGCTGTTTCAAGGCTAATACATTTAGGATTGTTTATCGTTTTAACTTTTGTGGAAAAAATTCGAAAAATTATTTTTGTCCCGTATTCGGCTCCCATAAATAGGGTCGAATGAAATTTGTCGAAATATATATCACAAAAATATTAATTAGTACTTACCGAACCCAAAGATGTCTGCAACTGAATTCACGATTTGGATGAAAATCACTAGCGGTAATATTTAAAAATAATTTAACTATAATAACCAAACCCTGGCGATAGTTCCCAAATATTGCCACAATTCGGTAAATAAATACATTTAGTTGTCGAAACTAAACTCTTTTCTCCTTGTAGTAATAATAAATTAATTTTTGCTTAATGCCTATGTATACAGACCAGCGATGTATCAATCTATTTTTGCGTCAATTGCCTACGGTACTACTTTAATAAATTTCAAAGCTTTGATTTTTTTATAAACAAAAAGAAAACAGACACCGCAAATGCATACAAAGGATAAATATTTTCTAAAATTGTACATCTTCATGATTTTGAAGTATCTAATCAGATATTCTGCAAATATTTCGTATTCAAAAACCACAAAATGTGTTAGCAAACTGCTAGTATGTATACAAGAAGCTACAACAGATGTTCTACAATTCTCTTTACTTTATCCATTCATACAAATGTTTTTTTGCAAATTTACTGCACTTCAAACACATTTGCAGATTCACTGCGGTGATTTGGGTGTCTAAAACCATAGCATTGTGTCTACATAGTAAATGCAGTACGAGTATGCAACTCTGCATGGTTAGTGATTTTTTTGTATGTACTTGCTAAACTAAGTTTTTTACATTTTCCAGTTGTCATGCTTGTCTAATAAACACAAAATTACATTTATCAAATATCGTAGAGACAGTCACATCTGGAGAGTTGTACACACAAGGGACATTCCTAAGAGTGGGAAGGGTTGTGCAGGAATCAGACAAACTGCCTCTTTTTGTCTAATGCAAGCATCGGTCATTGCTGAATACACTGAGTTCACACAAGGCTGATTTTCTCGATGCAATTTTGCGAACTGTCTATTGGTGTTGCTCGTCACGTTCACTCACAGCATACTATTTATGTTCGTTATTTAATTTATTATAAATCATAGAATTAGTACAATAAAATATCGCAATGATCTTTTCTAGTACAACTGCATAACTAGCTGTGGAAGTAGTTGTGGTAGAGTACTTTAACTTGATTTGGAGATATATAAAATGAGTTACATACTCATAGAGGAGGGACGCCATCTGTTGAAAAAATCAAATTCTATTTGAATTAAAGTTGTTATTTGAACGGTCTTAAAAAGATTGTTGTTTGAAAATATTTTAAAATAGGATTGCCACCTGTTTGAAAAGTGGAATTTAAATAATTTATTTCCAAGGATTATATGGTTAGGAAACTTTTAGTTCGAAAATTTATAGTAATATTATTGGGTGTTTTGCAAGGGTTGACACTTTTAAAAAAATTTAATTCAATTAATTTAAATGAATTATTACCATAGCATCAATCAGAATAGTAATTCTAAACTTTGAAAAAGCAAATTTTACTTGAATTAGGGAAATTAGGTACCACATTACGGGTGTCAGAAAAAGGGTGCCAGAAGGTTGCCACCTGCTCAAAAAGTTTAATTCCATTTTTTTAATATTCGAAAGAATTATTACAATACAATACAACAATCGAAATGATTTTGAAGAAGTTTGATTTCAAAAGTAGATGAAGGAGCTTTACCAACTATTTAAGAAATTAAATCGGGCTTTAATTAAGGGAATTATGTAAGGTAGATTAAACCATTTTTATTTGAAAATAATTTGAAAAGGTTGAAAAAAATTTTAAAATCACCTATGTTTTCGACTGAAATTTCATACAACCAACGAATCAGTTGAAGGCAATCTTGTTTAACAAACAGACTAAAAGAAAACTCACCAGTAGAGCGTAAGGAGAAAATATAAGAAAAATTTATTGAGTAACTTCGAAGCAGCATCGGTGTGCAGTAATCGTTTCGGGATGGAATGAAATCGACTCTTTTTTTTATCCACTCCTCTTGGTAGCTGGCCTTGCCTGCTATATCTAGAGGTGCCCCACTGAGCCCAATCGAGGTAGATTTTTGCATTATCTCCAGCTACTTAACGATGGTATCTTTGTATAGTGCGCTCCAATCATCAAGGATACCAAAAAAAATAAAATTGGTTCAGTTATATTCTCGTCAGCGCTTTTCAATGCACCCTTTCTAAAAGCATAAGAATACTAAGGTCTTATTAAAACAAAGAGGGTAAAAATCACGGACTTCTANCATACGCAGCATCGGTGTGCAATCGAGGTAGATTTTTGCTTTCTCTCCATCTACTTAACGACAGTATCTTTATACTGTGCGCTCCCATCATCAAGGACACCAAAAAAATAAAATTGGTTCAGTTATATTCTCGTCAGCGCTTTCCAATGCACCCTTTCTAAAAGCATAAGAATACTAAGGTCTTATTTAGCCTTTCCATAATATTCGGCTTACTGTAAAGAATAAAGCCCAGTTAAAAAGGACCCTTATGATCTTCATAATAAAAATTGTAGGTTAACTGTTAAAATTGGATTAATATTTTTCAGACCAAATGTAACTGTTATTTTTTATTTTTATTTTTTTTGTTTATCCCGTAACCGTTGGTTTCGGATACATTTTCTTTTTAATTATATCGGAGTAGTGAGGCTTTACTAAGCCCTGTACGGTGTATTCTACGAAGAAAGTTCCAAAAATTTTAAAATACGTTTTTTGAAACTTTGATACCAAATATCTTGAAAACAGGGCCAATTGGATAATGTAACGGACATAATCTTAATCAACGGATAAAAAGGATCTCTACGGAAAGAATCAGCTCTCAAAAGCTCTGTNAATAAATACGAGCAACCAACAAATTATGCAGAACGAAAAATGACGCTGAAGATGGCACAACGCCGAAACCGGTTTGTCTCCAAACCAAATTTGACAAGGGATGACGGAAATTCGTTCCAAAATACGTCTTATTTAGCCTTTCCACAACATTCGGCTTACAGTAAAGAATAAAGCCTAGTTAACAGGGACCTTTATGATCTTCATAATAAAAATCGTAGGTTAACTATTAAAATTGGATTAATATTTTCAGACCAAATGTAACTGTTATTTTTCATTAGGTCGGCAAAAAACCTTTGTTGTTGGGTTTTTATTTTCTTGTTCATCTCATGGCCGTTGTTTTTAGATAAATTTTCTTTTTAATTATTTCGGAATAGTAAGGCTTTACTAAGCTCTGTACGGTGTATTCTACGAAAAAAGTTCCAAAAATTTAAAACTATTTTTTTTTTTTTTTAAATTTTTAATACCAAATATCTCGAAAAAGAGGCCAATTGAATAATGTAAAGGACATAATCTTAATGAACGGATAAAAAGGATCTCTACGGAAAGAATCAGCTCTCAAAAGCTCTGTCGCAAAATTTTGTTGGCCAAGTGTTATTTTTATGAGGACCACTTTCCTTCAGATCGAAATAAGACGAGTTGAATATGTATGAGTTGAGAAATAACCAAAACAAAAACCTCGCTCGTTACACATTATTCCCTACCAGTTCTTAAAAGATTGTTCAATAAATGTGTAATACAAATACTTAAATATGTATGTATGTATAAAAAAGTTTATACGAAACCGTAATTTTATTGATAATATTCCGTTCTTGTTTACCTCACATCTTAAAAGTTAGGTGCTAATNGCTACCAGTGTATGTAAAACCGCTGAAAGATTCTTAAAAGATTGTTCAATAAATGTGTAATACAATTACTTAAATATGTATGTATGTATAAAAAAGTTTATACGAAACCGTAATTTTATTGATAATATTCCGTTCTTGTTTACCTNCCTACCAGTTCTTAAAAGATTGTTCAATAAATGTGTAATACAAATACTTAAATATGTATGTATGTATAAAAAAGTTTATACGAAACCGTAATTTTATTGATAATATTCCGTTCTTGTTTACCTCACATCTTAAAAGTTAGGTGCTAATATTAATTTAATAGAAAACTGTATTCAATGTATACGATATGTTTTATGTTGTGCCATAGAAGGTAACTTGGCTATTGATGCCGAGACCACGTGGTGATGTTAACCTTATCGAGACAGTATTTGTGCCTAGTGCACCGGCTGTTATTGTGACAGCAGGACTTTTACGCGGAGGTCTATTGTCATTTATCGTAATGCCCCTGACCACAGAAGTAGTAGATGGTCCCTTGAGAACAATGAGAAAATAAAATGATTAATAAAGTAAAAGATTTATAAAAAAATTACACAAAATAGAAACACAAAGAATGAGGGGAGAATGAAATATGCATCTTTGGAAAAGACGAAAGTGGAATGAATGTAGGAACCATAAGGCGAGGCACTACAAACAATAGTATATATGTATACATAGATTACCGGATCATTCTTATAAGATTTGTGTGGCGAACTTAGCAACCCGTTGATGANAGAAAGTGGAATGAATGTAGGAACCATAAGACAAACAATAGTATCTATGTATACATAGATTACCGGATCATTCTTATAAGATTTGTGTGGCGAACTTAGCAACCCGTTGATGATTGAAAAGAAGGAGTTCGAGATAATGGAAAGTAGGGATGCAGCGGAAAAAAGAAGGTTGTATGAAGTGAATAAATAAAATGAAATTAAGTGAAATGAGTAGATAAGTGAAATGGTTTCGTTTTACATTATATTTTTTGTACCACTAAAACTCTTTCTAAAATTTGCTTACCGTAAAAGTATAGTCAACCGTTACCACTTGACCTAAACGAAAGCGCTGAGACAGCGTTGTCAGGCCTAAAGTGGCATCAGTTGTTAAAATTTGGCCAAGCTGTTGTTGCGATGCATTTGCGTGCGCGAGGATGGTGGCAATGAGCAGAAATACCACAAAAATATTTTTCATTTTTTAAATGGATTTTTTTTTTTTTGTTACAAAAACTCAAAAACTTTGTACAACTCTAACTTTTTCGGCAGCGCCCAACACTTCACTGTGTGTACTCAAAAGTTGTGTGTTAATTTCTTTGCGTTCACTTGTCAACTGTGATAACCGCTATTTCAAGCTTCACTTTTTATAGCAAAAGTTTTTCGATACTGGCAATAATATTTGACTAGAATTTTTTGGTATCATTGTGACCCAGTAACCTATTTATCGCTTGTAACACAAATTTTTGACTTGCATGCTTGAAGTTTCGAAAAAAACAAATCGTTGGAATTTTTGTTGTGCAAGCCAAGGCATTGAAATACTACATATTCTGTAAAGTTGGAGATGATTTCCAATCTAAATATCTTAACATATTCTTTGGTATCTTATCTTCTTATTGATTAGTTGGCATTGAGTTTGTCTATGACGGATGTATGTGAGCATTTGCATTTGCGACTATCAGTTGCATTTTTTTAGAGCAAATTCATTTGACGAAAAAAAGTAAGTGCGCCTGGGCCACACTGGAGAAGTGAAACTTACGTTACGTATCTATTTTGTCTTATTACCAATATACATACAAACATACATCTACGTTTGCTTAAGGTTATATTTTTTGCCTTTTTTCTATCTAGATCCCTATTTCTACCCCTCCTCTTATTACATTTATGTTATTCTGTTTTCCTTTATCTTAATTTTTATCTTTATACTCCATCGATATCAAAATCGATAGTAACACCCAACAAAATATCGATAACAAAACCGATAAAAAGTATCGAAAAAAAAATCTATAAAACCTCAAAAAAAAATTCGATGGCAAAATCGATAATAATATGGTAGAAAAATCGATTGGAAAATCGTTAAAAATATCAATTAAAAATATCGATAACAAAATTGNAAACAAAATCTATAAAACCTCAAAAAAGAATTCGATGGCAAAATCGATAATAATATGGTAGAAACATCGATTGGAAAATCGATAAAAATATCAATTAAAAATATCGATAACAAAATTGGCAAAAATATCGATAGCAAAATTGATAAATAATCGATAGCAAAATCGATAAATAATCGATAACACAAACGATAAAAAATTCGATTATTATATCGATAAGTTCTGAAGATATTGANGTATCGAAAAAAAAATCTATAAAACCTCAAAAAAAAATTCGATGGCAAAATCGATAATAATATGGTAGAAAAATCGATTGGAAAATCGTTAAAAATATCAATTAAAAATATCGATAACAAAATTGGTAAAAATATCGATAACAAAATTGATAAATAATCGATAGCAATATCGATAAATAATCGATAACACAAACGATAAAAAATTCGATTATTATATCGATAAGTTCTGAAGATATTGATAGCAGAATCGATAACAATATCCATCAAAAATTTGATAAAAAATCGATAAAAATATCGATAACAAAACCGATAAAAATATCGATTATTATATCGATAAGTCCCGAGAATCCAGAAAATCTCTAAAATCCGAAAATAGTTCACATGTATGTATATATCCTTTTCTCCATAATTACCTTTATTTTAATCCTTCTTCCTCTATTTTCATCTTTACCTCAATCGGTATCCTCATCCTCATCTTTTTCTTTATATTTGTCTTTGTTTTTACTTCTATGTTTACCACTTCACATATTCCCCTTGTATAAGTAAAGTATTTAAATTTGCCTTGATCTTCATTTTTGCCTTTATCTTTGCGCATCTTTGTTTTTGTTTTTATTAATACCTTTGCCTTTATACTTTTCTTTATCTATTTATGCACATATGTACTTACCTTTACTTTCATTCTTGTATTGGTCTTTTAACCTTTTATTAGCAAGTTTTTGTTAAATGGATACCATGTGCATACACTCAAGAAGCACTTGTTCAGCCGAACCATTTCCGTGTGCAATTTCCGTTGAACTTGCCAATTTACTCCCAACAAACCAACGGCCCCTAAAGAAGTTTCACTTCAAAAATAAAAATAAAAAAAAAGTAAAGTAAAAGCCTTAGATTAGTCATGCAATTACACTTATAGTTGTCGGCTTTTAGGTACATATTTATTGAAGTATAAATGGATAAGCATTCTCTTGCTTCCTATTCTTATGATACCACAAGCGGTTACAGCATTGAATACGCAAATGGGTTGCCACCCGGTCAGGTGTTCAAAATCGGATGGAATATTATCTGACGAACGCCTAAAAAGCGATTTTAGTATATTCAGAGCTTTACCGTCGAGATTAATTTTATATTTAGTACCTTTATCTTTGAGCGATAGGTTGGATATAAAAGAGTGTCGGAAGGTAATCGAAACAATTAAATAAATCTTTATTCGAAAGGTCTGGAAAAACTCTGTACAAAAACTTACCCAACTTTACTTGCAAAAATCAAGATTAATTTTTAAACAAAATTTTTATTCGTTTTCCACTAACAACATAGACTCTAGTTATGTATCATGAAAACATGCATTTAATGTCCATAAATTTCTACAACATCCTTGATGCCTTTACCACGTTTCGACTTAAAGAGTAGCGTAGCTCCCTTCGAACCAGGACCACCATTAACCAAAGTCACACTAGCACCACTTTTCTTCTTATCGATTACTTTGATGGCGGTGATTGTCAATGCGTTTAGATTATCCTTCAGTGTTAAAAAAATAGAATAGAAAATATAATTAGATCCTCACCAGTTCAAAATCGGCGAAATATGGTTCTTTTAAAAAACTATTTTATTTCACTTTTTTCATTAGAAATCTATATCTTAGGTGGCGAATTTAGAACTGGTTCGCAAATATAGAAAAAGGGGTGCAGAACGAACTAGATCTTATTTGTCGAATTTAGTAGTATTTAAAAAGTCATGATACTTTTTTCTTTCGTCTGTCGATTTTAGAACTGGTTCGGAACTACAAAATTTAGGATTAGTTTCTAACTATCGAAAAAGGGATGCAGCGATGGCTAATTGACACTTCCTAGGACATCGACGTGTTAAAGTCGCCAGTTATTTGCTTGCAAAATGAATTTATTCTGAACTAGTAGTGGGTCTAAATGTACTAGAAGCGCACCAGTTCAGAACTAGAGACTTTCCCCACAGGGAGTACACACAAGTGCATACAGTCATGCAACATACATTTATATAGATTTATTTGTATTGTTAAATGTAATTGAAATATAACTGAGTATTCTGTTTTAACTTTAAATTAGTAAAATCGTCTATAGCTTATATCGGCGGCCGAGTGGAAGATAAACCTATCCCGGCAGCCCTATTCAGGAACGCCCTATCTCAGCAAATAGTCCAAAAAGGCGCTACCGATAGGGCGATCTTCCGCTCAGCTGACGATATGTGCATATCAGCCACTTTTTTTTTAAGTCGGACGGATTTCGTAAAAAAAAAATTATATCATGTCTCCGTTTCGCTAATTTTTTTTTTATGGGTCTATATCTGAGGCAAAGACAAAGAAAGTTTTTGGCAACATAAAGGTAGTTGACCGGCCGCTTTTAAACTATGCAGCAGTGGTGTGGTCGCCGGAGACTAGCAGGAGACAGTGGACGAAGCTAACACGGCAATCCGTACTGCCACCGGATGCTTTCGGTGTCGCCACAGCACCACCTATATATGATGAGGCTTAAATGCCCCCTGTCATGGAGCACATACAATGCTTTGCAAGCAATTCCTAGTAGAGTGACACCGACGTGGGCACCCGAACAGACGCCTGCCTAGGCACGTCAGAAGACATCTATACAAACTGACGGACATAGTCCAGATGTTCATAAATGGCATCCACAGAGAGTTGGTCGCTACATACACCGACAACCGTCCTGGGAATTCCGTTTTGGGAACACAGCCACCAAACGTGGATGAGACAGAATTTCGTCTGCCACGGGAAACTATAGCCACCACTATAGCCTAACTGCGCCCTGGATACTGCAGCTGGCTAAACTCCTACCTAAGAAGGATAATTGCAGATGTGCCCAATGAGTGCCGAAATGCGGCGAGTCCCCTCAGGCTCGCAACACCTTTTCCTATGCCCCCTAAACCCCACTCAACTAACTCCCCTCTCCCTATGGATCAACCCGGTAGGGAGTGGCGCCAATTACAATTTTCCATCATTATTTTTGAGAGTCTTTAAACTATTCTTCTACGGCAACTTATTAAAATTTGAAGTTGACCAATCAAAGAACTGTTCTGCTGAATTTAAAATGTTTCTAATTGAGCATTGCTCACATTATTTTAAGTGTCAGAAGTTTTCGGCGAATCGTAGTCAAAAGAGAGCATTTATCAACTTGATATCGATTTCGTGCGACATGTGATAAGGGTTCCACTTAAAAATTATTTAAAGATGACTTTTTCTTAATCCATTAGTTATAAAATATTTATCAACACACAAGTAAATTTCGGCGACATCGCATTTATCATCTCTTCCTCGATTACAATGTCATTACACTTACATACATATATTTATAAAGACCTTTTGTTGAGGTCATAAATATAACTCGAACATTGATAAATTTGTTCACTTCAATCATAGCGCCATATAATCGAAATATCTATATTTAGCTGAAAGCGCATTTACAGACATCTTTTCTATGTTTGGAACTTTAAATGGTAAAGCATTAATTTATTTTATTTTTTTATTCGATTGACATTTCTTTTTACCACACAACAACCAATTACTTGGCGTATAGTTATAAGCATGAAGCAGAAGAAAAGAGGTAATAAAAATATCTAAAGGCGTAAATATTTAGTATCTCAAAAGCTGTCTAAGGAAAATTTATAAAATTCATTTACACAAATCGAATTCGTGCTGCTATCGCGCTGTGTGAGGAAATGGAAGAACGAATGTGGACTATCAACAAGAGTAAATATATTTTTTTTTATATAAATCTGTATAAACAGTGAAAATGAAAATTAATTATAGTAGACATACCAGTGATGGGCAAAAACGTAGATTACCAAGTACAGTATCAAGTATAGTATAAGTAAATGTATTTAGTTGTTTTCACAGCACCAAATTCTGAATATAGAAGTATATATTTAACAAAACAAAATACCATACAAAAGTATTTAGTATCGATAGCTTCACTATATATGGACAACAAAAGTAATGCCAAGAAATTCCGTAAATATCAAAATAATCCCAAAAACCCAGAAAAGTCCTTAAAAATTCCTAAAATATACCAAAAGATCACGAAAAATATAACACGGATAAAACCGAAAATTACTTAAAAGATAAAGAAAAGTGCGAAAGAATTCCAAAGTTTAAAAGTCCTGATAAATTAAAGACGAAGAAGCCCCATAAAATTAGAAAAAAAGCGTAGAAAATCTTGGAAAATTTCTATAAACTCCAAAATTCATGTAGCATTCGGATATATGCAATATTTAATTCATCTTTCCAATTAATTTGAATTAAATCTTTAAAACAGGTGGCAACCCTCCTCACAAATACATATTTCCACCTGTAAGCCTTCTAAACCTCTTTCTTTCTACACCCATATTGTAATATATACTTTATCTCATTAATTTATTTAGATAAGTATATTGAAATTGTTGTACAGGTGGCAAATCTTTAATTTTTTTTTTGTTTTTAAACCATCTCGAACGCAACTATTAAAAAGAAGAAATTTTCAAAAACTGCCCCTTCCGAACTTTGGTACAATACTAAAAATATGCGATGACAATATCCCTTTCATGTTCAAGTTAAATGACTTTTTATCGTAAATTCCAATATCTAATTAAAATTTTGTTTTAAATTTTCACAAGAACTGCCAATTCGTGCATGATTTCGCCCCAGCAGCAAATATCCACTCTATTGTGCGTATCATTTCGTTTGGAAGTTTTCCGATAAGTGTGCAATTTATTTACCACTCACAAATGATAAGCAGCACTTTGTTATTGTTATTGGTTTGTAACTTCTTCCTCTGTGACAAGTCAACTTCAACGTCTGTCTGTTACACGCCAATTTTTTTTCTCCTCGAGTGGCTTCTGTTATAAATGTGGCACACCAAAATTGCGGCAGGCTTACTCATACCTACATATGTGCGTATGGATGGTTC